TGCCATGTAGGGCTTTAAAGGTGATAACCAACACCTTGAATTGGACCCGGAAGCAAACCAGGACCCAATGCAGCTCACGTAGCAACGGTGTAACATGTGCCATCCTTGGGGCACCCAAAATTGCCCGTGTGGCTGCATTTTGAACCAGCTGAAGCTTCCGGATACTCTTCAAGGGTAGCCCCATGTACAGCACATTGCAATAGTCTATATAGGTTGATGATGGTGCGCAGATGGTACCCCAGGCAAATGCCCAAATATGAAATAGGACTGCACTTTGGGGCTAAAACAAGCAGTTGTAGTAGAGCTGGATAAGCCATTGCCCTGTGTCCAGGCCTATAAAGTCCCAAGAGTCTACAACAAAGTTCTAGGCATAAAAAAAGGCTCTGTTATATATGATTATATTATAGGACAGATGCCATGTATACAGTGCTTGCTTGCTTATTTATTTATTTAACTTGTATGCTGCCCATCTCCCCCAACGGGTGACTCTGGGTGGGAGTCAATAACAAAAAAGAACAAACAAACCAATCCCTCCAACAGTGACTAAAATCCATAAATAATTAAAATACAAACATACATTAAAAATGTCCTAACCCCCCCCCTGTATATTTTAGCACTAAAACCTTCATCTATATTGGGGCCTGTGGTTATGACAATGGCCAGGGCTACAAAGTCTTTTGAGATGTGAGTGTAGCTCTTCATGGATATTACTGCTGAAAAGGCAGACTTTGCTCCAGAGGAATGGCACTTTTTGAAAATTTTGGGGACTTCAAAAGAAAATCAGTATGCATTATGCTATTTGACACAGATGAACCTTTCAACACATGCTAACATGCCTATGGATATGCCCCTCTTCTATCACCCAAAGGTCACTAGCTGACCTTCAAAATCTTAGCCATAAAAATGTGACAGACAAGAATTCAGCACAAAGTGTTCTTAGGTGGCCACCTAAGACAGCATGAGATAAGCATCTGTAGTTCCTAGATGCAAAGGAGCTGCTCTTGTTTGGTGCCAGCTGTTAGAGAGCCCATGCCATCCATCCACTGGGGAGAAATCTGCCCAGATGTGATCGCAGGGAGAGGGGGTAATCTGTAAACATCTGCTCAAGGTCTTTGATAGTTCTGCATGAAGAGTATTGGTTTTCTAGTGCAGAGGCAACTCTCTTATTGGATAGAATGAGGCAGCTGCCTTAAACAGTATTTGGTAAGGACAAGAAGCAACAGCAAAATGTTGGAGGGTGAAGCTCTACACTTTGAAGCTTCTTCTCTTCACGAGAAAGGAAGGATGATATGCCTTCCATTCTGTTCTTGCCTCTGATGTCATTCTGGTTGCTTTCCTGAAGAGGAAAGATTGGGAATTTCTAACCAAGTGGTGGGTTATAAATGTACTTTAGCTGTGTCTGATTTTAGCCTGCTATATTTCCAATTTATTGTTTGGCAATTCAGACATTACAACAAAACTTACATGTGCTTCCTTAACCTTGATTTAGTGTGATGTCTGAATTGAATCCTCAGAAGCAAATAATAAGGTTGGTTGGTTGGGAGGCAGCTTTTGAGGATTTAAGAAAGCAACATTTAATACAGTCAATAGGGAGAGTTATGGGAGGAATAGCTCTTTAAAACTAATATAGTTTATGTTGTAGTGAGACTAATACAAATCTTTTCATTAAACACTACTGAGAGCGTAAAGGCCCCCAAAAAAGTGATTAGCCCAAAATCAACCTTTCCAAAGTAATCCCTTAAAAAAACAAACAAACCTTGTTTTGCTTGCTATTTTTAAACTGTTGGAAATGTTTGGAGAACTGCAAGAAATTACCCAAAAAATGATGAGTAGATTCAAAGTCACTTTCTGCTCAACCATGTGCCAAAAAAATTCGTTGCACCTCATTCAGAGTCTATTTGGAATGGTTTAAACCAGTGTTTCTCAAACTTGGCAACTTTGAGATGTGTGGACTTCAGTGCCCAGAATTCCCTAGCCAATAATTCTGGGAGTTGAAGTCCACACAACTGCCAAGTTTGAGAAACATTGGTTTAAATCAAACTCCTCCAAAGTGATTGTCTCAAATCCCCAACAAAATTGTTCATCTGAGCCAATTCCATGGTTTCTCTGTATATTATAAGAACTAAGTTGATGACTGACTAAATGAAATAAAAATTGACCGAGTGATATATTTCAGCTCAGAGATTTATTGGCAAATACTGAGCAAGTACCTTGGTACTCCACAATAAAATTGTATTATGATTTGAAAAATTACCTATTGATCTGTTTAAGTCTGCTTCTAGATAATCTTTATTAAAATTTCAACAAATAGCCTCTGGTGCTTTAAATGGGGCAATATTGTAACCTGATTTACTATTCATGTCACTTTACTTGTGGTGAGGCAGTAACTGTAAATACTCTACACTATATGTTCTGCTGCTCTATTTCTGAAAGTGGGTTGAATAGTTTTTCTTACTCCATTTGTGGAAAGATCATGAATGTAGGTGTATAAATGCTTGCTTGTTGCTAAATCTGTTGAGGAAATTATTCAAATGCACCTTTTGCCTTCAAAGCTGCAAAGTAGCATTAACATCCTTTCATAGAAAGGTTTGAAGCTGGGTAATACTATAGTTATCTGAAAGGAAGGCTAGTTTTCCCCAACTATAATTTATTTTTTAAATGGGAGAGTTGTCTTTGATTTGATTAAAATACATACATACATACATACATACATGCACATATATAATAGAAGCAGAGGAGTTCTTTCTTTCTAAACTTCCATTGTACAAGGGGGAAACCTCTTACATTCAGGTCTTCTTTTTGACTAATACGATGTTTTACTTTTGGGTAAAACATTTTCTGATGTTCATTATAAATTGAATATTTGATGTATTGGATAGATTATCATCTCTTAATTGACTTTGTAGATAAGTCTGAGGTTTAATTTTGTCTGCCGTTCTGATGTTCTGTGTTTTAATTAAATATGACCTGCATAGTGTGCAGCAGACAATTAAATAAGTCAGCCTGGAAAATGAAGACTGCGGTCTGATGTGCACTTGCATGGGAATAAGACTTATTCTGTGGAAGTGTGATTGTTAAATGTCAGATATGACCCTTTAATGATGCTTCTGTCCTAAGCCAGGCTATCTACATTGAGAGGAAAGGATGAGTAACATTGACACAGGAGAAGCATGGAAGGCCACCTTAATGCAGTTCAGAACTACAAAATTTTATGTTAAGGTTGGTTTGTTTTCCTCAATTGCTTTATTATGTTTTTTAAAGTATAGTCCTAAATATCAGAAAAATTGTATTGTTTCAACAAAAGCCATTGTATTCTAACCCAAGCTAAAATGTATCCTTCTCTGGCTAGACTTCTTTCTTATGTAAAATTATTTCAGGTCACGTTGGTCTTCTAAGTTCTTAGAATGCAAATGGGTGTTCTCTAGTAGGTGACTGATTACCTAACCAATAAGCTTACTTTAATATACAGTTATAGCACTTGCGTCTGGATAAAACAGGGTACTCCTCTAGCCAAGCTCTGTAACGATGCAAAACCAAGGTTCTTTCACATTCCTTTTGCGGAAATTTTGAGATTTTCCATTTTTCTTAGAAATATACGTACATAGAGGGAACAGATGTCCAAGTCTCCCTCCTTTTCTACTGTAGCAAGAAACATTTATTTAGTCAGTTTTTTCAAATTATTATTTTTGAGCCAGAATTGTTTTGGAAGTCCTGCATGAAGATTTGCAGATTTGGATCTGCCAGTTGTCAGCTAAAACATATATTGGGGGGTCGTAATTATTAGAATTCCTGTCCTGCCTTTAAATGCAGCCTAGCCTTTTAGGCAGGCACTGAGCAGCTGAAGCTATTTTACTATAGAGAAAAGCATTCATTGACTTTGTGCACATCAGATTACTGGGGATGAGCTCCTGAACGAAAAGCAGGATATATATCTAGCAAGCTAATAAATAAATACAAGAACAAAGCTAGCTTTTATCTTCTCCCTTTCGGTTTACCCTTTCATTCTGGGGCCAGGAAAGAAAGCTCACTCAGGGCAAGTGTTTTATTTGGGGTTACTACCTGTAGGACCCAGTGGGCTTCTGCTAAATGTAAGGAGGAAATAACTAAATCTGATGCCTTTTAGGCTGGATCTGTTTTTTCCTCCTGAAATTATACAAAATAAAGGGGTACAAGTGTTCAACAACTTGATAAGCAGACCTTTCTCTGTGCAATTCAAAACTGGGACTTCCTTCCCATCCCCTTTCAAATATTTATTGGAAGCACGTGCTAAGGAATCTGTGTGGTGGGGATTGCTAATAAGTGTGCAAGGCTTCAGATATGAGTAAAACGTGGTTGGTGGTGGTGGGGAGAGCTCTTCCCTCCATCAGAAGTTCTGCAGACCCATCTGTTGTGTTACATGGCGCCACAATAGAGCCAGTTGTGAGAAATGGAGGAAGAGTCTGAAATTACCCAAGTGGATGCATCTGATTAATTTTCAACAAGTGCAGTCCTGCAGAGAGCAGCTTGTGAGATGGGGGGTTGCTTTTGTTGTTTCTGCATGATCATGTGAGCCTGAAAAGCACATACCACAGTTCAAAAGAAGGAGAACTGCCCTTCCCTCCTGTTCTCCTAACCTTGGGCTGATCAATAATGGATCCTGCAGCACAAAGCCTGCATTCTTTTATTCTCAAATCAGAGCAGCTGTTGTAGTAACGGCACAGCTTATTCCAAACCTGTTCGCTTTGGAAAGACATAATCCAGTTTGGAAATATTAGGGCTTCTGACTTTCTCTCACACCAATTAAGAGGCATGGTATGGAACTTTTGCTATTATCATTTGCATATTTTACTCTCTGGCCTAGTTCTCATAAAAAAGTAGATGATGTTGTCAAATGGTACTTGGACAGTACTATTACAGGCTGTTGGTTCCTGTTTAATTAAATATTTCCAAACCCCAACATATTCCTTCCACACAAGACACACAAGGCTTCCAGTCTCCAATCTCTTACAGCTTGAAGTTGTCCTGTGATCCTCTTAATTGCTCCAGACTTAAAAAACTGAGAGGGTGCAGAGAGCATCATGAGTCAATAAGTGCTAATGAGCAGGATTATACAAAGAATGTCATTCAGTCTGTGCCCTGTACCCTCATGCCACTAAAAAGGGAAATAAAACATATTGCTAGCACACTCCTGCCCTGTTCACATTTTCAGTACATGTTTTGCGCATCTGTCTTCTTGTTTGCCAGCAAAACAAAACTGAATAATGGCTATGAGGGAAAGATCCTGAATGCCTAGCCACCATTCCTTCTGCACTCAAAAACCCATTTGAGCCGTCAGGTTGAAATGACAGCGTGTCAGCAATTTTGCAAACAGGTGCTTTCCCTTCTGGTGGCAATCTTGGCTTTCTGTTGCTGCTGTGGTTGGAGTGGGACAAGAAGAAGATTGACTTTTTAAAAAATACTTTTAGGCACGTGTTGGGATGTTCTATGTGGAGGAGAGAGAGAAAAAGTAATTGCTGCCTTGATCCATGAGCTGGAATGTGTAGTGAGTTAGGAATAGACTGTCTAGGGCTTTATACAGACACAAAACCCCAGTTTTGCTCCAGTTTCAGATAACTTCACACAAAACCAGAAATAAATTGACTCAGCTCTCAAACCCTTCTATGCTGTGCCATCAAACAAGTATGGAACTAATTCTGCACCAGTACAATGTCATAGACCGTGAAGTCAGGAAGGAAAACTTGGACTTGGGAGGAATTCTTGTCTAGCCTTCTCCTTGACATGCTGTCTTTCTGTGGTTGAGTTCATGCATCACATTAAACTGTAATGCAATGCATTTGGTTTGGGCTTAGAGTATTATATGAACTGGTTTATTAAACCATGGCTTATCCCAATGTATAAACCCAGCCCATATGTTAAAAACTTTGTGGGCAATTTGTCATCAAGTAAGCCCTTACCTTTCAATTAACAGAATTCACGTTGTCTGCTGTTTTGACGGTTCACACATTATAAACAACATGTTTCCATGCATAATGTCCAAAGGAAAGTTTACAGGAAGCATGTTGAAGCATGTATCTTTCGTAACCCCAAGAGTTACGAAATCCAGACAGATGAATCTGGAACTGTGCTCTGGTAAAGGGGAGGTAGCTCTGGAGGAGAACCCATTGCAAGCCCCGTTCAGATGAAAAGCAGCAACCATCATTACAAACTTACTAACCGCCATAACATATCTAGGCGCATCAACAACCTGACTGTGAGGCGGAGTTGCAGTTGACGACCCCACCCTAACCTGATTCTTCACGCTACATTTCATTTTACCATTCGTAATTATATGCCTATCTTCCCTTCACATCATTCTCCTACACGAAGAAGGATATACTAACCCCCTGGGAGGCAACTTAGACATTGACAAAATCCTGTTTCACTCGTACCGTTTCCTTCCCTTGCAGTTCCTGCTCATGCCAATGGGAGGATCGCCTGATTCACGCATAAGGTGGTTTGTCTGATTTTGGTTCAGCGTTCTGTGTAAAGCCAGCCATGGTGGATGTGAATCATAGATAATAACTTTGCATGTTCGGTGAATACAGCCAGTTGTGAATTATGCAATGAACTGTGGTTAAATCATGACTCAGTGTGATGTGAGAATCCAGGCTATGAACCTTGCAGAACTGCCCTCTCATGTGTTGTAGCAATCCACTGCCTTGATCTTTGACAGAGGTTAGCTACAAAAGAGGATGAAGCTAGACTCTTATTTCCTTAACAATTATGTATCCTGGTAGATTCAATGAGCTTAGCAAACTCAACTTATTAGCATCAGTGCATAGCAGGGCCATCAGTGGTGTGTGTGTGTGTGTGTGTGTGTGTGTGTGTG